GGGCTCCAAAATCACTGCAGATGGTGACTGCAACCATGAAATTAAAAGACACTTGCTCCTTGGAAGAAAAGCTACGACCAACCTAGACAGCTTATTAAAAAGCAGAGACATAAAAAATAAATAAAAAGCAGAGACATTACTTCGTCAACAAAGGTCTGTCTAGTCAATGCTATGGTTTTTCCAGGAGTCATGTATGGATGTGAAAGTCAGACTATAAAGAAAGCTGAGCACCGAAAAATTTACACTTTTGAACTATGGTGTTAGAAGATTCCTGAGCGTCCCTTGGACTGCAAGGAGATCAAACCAGTCTATCCTAAAGGAAATCAGTCCTGAATATTCATTGGAAGGATTGATGCTGAAGCTGAAATTCCAATACTTTAGCCACCTGATGTGAAGAACTGACTCATTTGAAAAGACCCTGATGCTGGGAATGATTGAAGGCTGGAGGAGAAGGGGACAACAGAGGATGAGATTGTTGGATAGCATCACCAACTCAATGGACATGAGTTTTTGAGTAAGCTCTGGGAGTTGGTGATGGACAGTGAAGCCTGGCATGTTGCAGTCCGTGGGGTCACAAAGAGCTGGACACGACTGAGAGACTGAACTGAACTGAGAATACTAGGTTGAGAGCAAAAATGTTTCTTTTTGTCACGTGTCAACAAATAGAACTGCAATCAGCCTTTAAATTGATACTTAAACTCTGAATACAGTTTCACATTGATTTTCATATAATCTTTCTAATTCAGCTGTGCTGAAAACCCAGACAAATATCCCTCCTGAAGTAAAAATAAGACAACATGGACAGAGAGAGGCAAAATAAGTCACAACACCGGCTGAATTAAGACTAAGAATTCAGGTTTCTGACTCCAAAGCCCATGCTCTTTCTATAGGACCACTGGAGCTCCCCTCACCTTGGCCGAACACTCAGCTCTGGGATGGTTCGAATAAATCTGGGATGACTTATTGGGAGAAACCTGGAAAAGAAATAAAGTCAGATCAATTCTCTTTTTTATGTCACTATAATCTGGAGATCAGAATTTCTAACTTCCCACTCAACCGAGCTTAAAAAACCAACCATTCCACTGCCACACTGCCCACTGGTAACGTCAGGCCTGAGGGTTTCCATTCTAAATGTCTGAGTTCAGAAATTAGCTCTTCTGATCTTTTGGGATTATCATATTAAACCCTGAAATGAATTTTCCTTACAGACAATATACTCCAACTCTTTCATTCTAAAAAGAAGGAAATTGAGGTCTAGAGAGAATAAATGACCTACTGAAGTTCCCACAGGTACTGAAATTAATATGCAAGTTATTGGCTAGACTTAGAATTCTTCTTTTGGTTTTCTCATACCAAGGACTTCTGCTGCAATAACATACTGTGACTCGATTTAAAGTAAATGAATACAATTAAGGTATGTACTGGAGAGTGGATTACAGTAACTGCTGATATATACTGAGCAGTAACTATGTGTCAGACAACCCAGCAGGAACATTCCACACTAGGTGTTCTTTTTCCAATGATTGCAATGGCTCTAGTAGTGATGTCACTACTATTACTCTCACTTAACAAATTAGGAAAATAAAACTGAGAGCTAAGGAACTGTTTAACTTGTGGTCATGTAATTTTAAGTGGCAAATCTGGAATTCAACCCAGATCTGACTTTAAATGAATGCTCTTAACCACTACATTATACACCATTAAAAAAAATAAAGAGAGACAAAGGGACTCTGGTGAATATTTTGGTTAACTAAAAGAAAATCTGACATATGCACAATTTTTGGAACCTGCCCCAGTTTCCATCTCTTCTCCCACAATTACAACAAGCTCTCCTCAAAGCCAGACCCTCTGCATAAATAAAAACAAAGCTGAAAAAAAGCCAGTCCCTCGCCCAAAGCTTTCATACTTGAAGGTCTTCATGTCTCTCCCACCAATCACTCGGGCAGTGACTTTCTTCCCAACTTTCAGCTTGGCAGTAGGAGATGTGCCCACTGGAACATCATCTAGAATGTGGGAGGCATGGATGCAGCCAATGATGCCATCTTCCAGGGTCACAACCACATGCGTAGGCTTAATGGACTTGACAGTCCCTGTGACCATGTCCCCAATGGACAGGGTGTGCTTCTTTACAGTCCCTACGACCAAAGCTGGATCCACTTCCTCATCCTCGTCGACTGTCTCTGAGTCCTTCCGGGTCTGTCTCATGGTCCTCTTAGCAGCTGGCCCCTCAACAGCTAAGAGGAGACCGGTCACTCCTGGTTCTGTGGTCTGGAGGGTTAGGGAGACGCCTTGCCCCACCTGCAATTTCTCTGAATCAAAGCGGAAGGTGTCGTTCAGGTGAGAGGTCAGGGAGAAAGCTGCAAGGTGGCCAGTCTCTACCAAGGAGGCGACGGCAAAGGACTCCTCCAAGTGCTGCACAATGGCCTGGAGGTCACTGCCTTTCTTCAGCTGGAAAACAGAAAACCAACATCCCTGCTTCTTACAGAGCACAAGGACTCGTTCCTCACCCACTGGGCAGGGTGTGACTGAGGAAGCCCTCTGAGTCCCGGGGACCCAAGGCTCATGTGAACTGGAACAAATCAGCCTCCACTCCCTGGACCCATTTCCCCTCCTGTATTCTGAGGCTGTCAACATGATCACACTCAAGGAACTATGTCAGGACCGCCTGGAGTTAGCTTCTGTTTTGAACTCAGATTCCTAGTCCTATCCTACAACTGGCAAAAGCAGAACTTTACAGGTGACTCTGATGTATAGCCAGGTGACCGCTAACAGTTCTCCAGCTTTAACACAACACTGTGGTTCCTGCTCTCCTAGTCCTGCAGCTCTCCAGCCAATGTTTTCACTGAGCCAACAAGAGAGTCGTTACCGACAGCTTACTGTGTACGAGGATGTAGCCTATCCTTCCCCATCATCCAACTTGTGCTCATGCCTTTACATGAGCGCAAGCTTCACTCAGATGATAAAATGGAACAGGGGCCTACTAGAAAGCTTGTATGCATGCATACTAAGTTGCTTCAGTCATGTCTGATTCTTTGCGACCCTATGACAGTAGCCCACCAGGCTCCTCTGTCCATGGGGATGCTCCAGGCAAGAATACTGAGGAGGGTTGCTGTGCCCCCCTCCAGGGGATCTTCCCGACCCAAGAATCGAACCTGTGTCTCTTATGTCTCCTGCATTGGCAGGGAGGGTCTTTGCCACTAGTGCCACCTGGGAAGTCCTGTTAGAAAGCTTAGTGAGGGGTTAATACTGCTTGCTATTTCTCTTTGTGTCTCAAAGTCTCAAAATTAGAAGCAACTAGAGGTTAAGGATTACATCTATATAATCCTCTGTAGCATACCCTGTGCAATGAGGAGCTTAATAAGTACTTCAGAAAATGATGAAATATATGTGTTCTCTGGAGAGAAAATACCACTCATTTTGAGAGCTTTCTTGAAGCTATTCTCTGCCCACACAAAGTGGACAGAGCAGGTGCAAACGAATAGCCTGGAGGTCAGACTACCCACAGACATGTTCTGTTTGATTCACATGATGTTTAAGAAAGTTTTGGCCTGGAGGTCACTGCCTTTCTTCAGCTGGAAAACAGAAAACCAACATCCCTGCTTCTTACAGAGCACAAGGACTCGTTCCTCACCCACTGGGCAGGGTGTGACTGAGGAAGCCCTCTGAGTCCCGGGGACCCAAGGCTCATGTGAACTGGAACAAATCAGCCTCCACTCCCTGGACCCATTTCCCCTCCTGTATTCTGAGGCTGTCAACATGATCACACTCAAGGAACTATGTCAGGACCGCCTGGAGTTAGCTTCTGTTTTGAACTCAGATTCCTAGTCCTAACCTACAACTGGCAAAAGCAGAACTTTACAGGTGACTCTGATGTACAGCCAGGTGACCGCTAACAGTTCTCCAGCTTTAACACAACACTGTGGTTCCTGCTCTCCTAGTCCTGCAGCTCTCCAGCCAATGTTTTCACTGAGCCAACAAGAGAGTCGTTACCGACAGCTTACTGTGTACGAGGATGTAGCCTATCCTTCCCCATCATCCAACTTGTGCTCATGCCTTTACATGAGCGCAAGCTTCACTCAGATGATAAAATGGAACAGGGGCCTACTAGAAAGCTTGTATGCATGCATACTAAGTTGCTTCAGTCATGTCTGATTCTTTGCGACCCTATGACAGTAGCCCACCAGGCTCCTCTGTCCATGGGGATGCTCCAGGCAAGAATACTGAGGAGGGTTGCTGTGCCCCCCTCCAGGGGATCTTCCCGACCCAAGAATCGAACCTGTGTCTCTTATGTCTCCTGCATTGGCAGGGAGGGTCTTTGCCACTAGTGCCACCTGGGAAGTCCTGTTAGAAAGCTTAGTGAGGGGTTAATACTGCTTGCTATTTCTCTTTGTGTCTCAAAGTCTCAAAATTAGAAGCAACTAGAGGTTAAGGATTACATCTATATAATCCTCTGTAGCATACCCTGTGCAATGAGGAGCTTAATAAGTACTTCAGAAAATGATGAAATATATGTGTTCTCTGGAGAGAAAATACCACTCATTTTGAGAGCTTTCTTGAAGCTATTCTCTGCCCACACAAAGTGGACAGAGCAGGTGCAAACGAATAGCCTGGAGGTCAGACTACCCACAGACATGTTCTGTTTGATTCACATGATGTTTAAGAAAGTTTTTAACATTTCCCACACCTTTTTCAAAGACAAAAATTAAATTCTGCCTTCTCTTAGAATTCAATGCCTTAGCAACACTAACCCAGATGCTCTCACGTGGCAACAAGCAGACAGAGGTCTCCACTCCTTGGCGTGGACTCCTCAATCCGTCAGAGTCCTAGAGTTATCACCCTTGCCTGCTGCTCTCCTCTACGACACCAGCTTGGCCCTAATCAGGGTGACCATGTGATTCATCCGCCTGAACTAGAGTGAAAGTCACTGCTACTAACGAGCACACCAGGACAATTCCCAGGCTGTCCCATGGTCGTGAACTGATGATGTCACTGCCAGGGCCTGGGTTCAATCCCTGGTCAGGGAACCAAGACCCTGCAAGCCATGCAGCTTGATCAAAAAACCAAAAACAAAAAAAAACAAGCACACCAGAAAGACAGGTACACCTGGGAATGACCCAGGCACGGTTACCCTGTCTACAAGCATCTGCAGGGCATGTGGGATTGAAGGGGTGTGTAGTGCCTCTGAAATCATGGGAATGAAGTCCACAATCAACAAGCTTACCTTTTTAGCTTTTCTATTCACCAAGTCGTGGCAGAGGGAAACATGTACTTCCAACTTCAACATATCAACGTTTAAGATTACAGCCTTCTTTTTCTGCCCAGGTTCCAGCTCCTGCCCTGCAGTGCAGAACCACACACAATGGGATCACCCTCCTGGAGCGGGGGCGGGGGGAAGACGACAGCATCTCCCCAACCACCCTGCAGCCCTTAGGCACAAAACAGAAGAGGACCTATGTCCTGGGTCTATACAGGTTAGGGAAGCCTAGGGTTGAGTTCCCATAACTCAAGTGTGTCAATTTATACAACCTGATAAATAAAAATCTAGATTCACCCAAATACAACAATAAAAGGACTCATACCTAAACCTTCTTTAATATTGCTGCTGTCTTCACTTGCATTTACACAAGATAAGCATGCCAAAAACTTCTACTGAATCAGCTCATCTAGCCCATGTATTTGGAAATTCTGTACCCAGCAGAGGAAGCAATGGGCAAACAGTTCCCCTACCAACCGAGACAGGTGAGAGAGATGTACTCACCTGCCCGATGATATTTGCTGGCTCTCAGGACCAGGCCGGGCACGGGGCCCTCACTGAACAGCACAGAGCCGTCTTCCAACACCTCCTGCACCTCCAGGTCAAGGGCCATTCCAGGGGTCATTTCAGCCAAAGTCTGGATCAACACAGAGTCTGACAAAAAGCCAAAGGAAACAGGGATTAACAAGATGAACACTCACCATTCTTTTTCCTTTGGAAATATGCTGCCATACGGAGGACATTTCCAATGCTCTGCATTGGAAACACTGTGAAGATAAAACCACTCTTGGTAAAAATGTCTGATATCCATGAACACTCCCATCACAGGCAGAGACCCTGCTAATCTCTCCTGGCCACAATCCATGGAAATAGCCAATGAATGTCAGGAACACATGCTTTGTTTTGGCTGTGGAATTTTCATCCTTTCTGTTTGGAAGCTACCCTTTCAAGCTTCTTATTCCCAAATCCCATCAGGGTTCCAACAATTCTACACAATGTTCAACACTTAGGAAGATCAGACTAATAACCCCCACGAAGTCCTCCAGCAAGTCCCTGGTTCCATTTTATCACTCACCACATGTGATGAATAAAGGAACAGAAAGTGAAGGGATGAATGGATTCACACAAATGCAAACCTGCGGCCACAGAACTCAGGGGAATCTGGATTCTGGACTGGGAGGGAGCACAGCACTCCTGGGATAACAGCGATGATCTTTTATCGGAATCTGGGTGGCAGTTAAATGGGGGTGTTCACTTTATAAACATTTACTGAGCAGTACCCTAACAGATTTGTGCATTTTTCAGAGGCCCTACTCCCATTTTTAAAAGTTTAGCCTTGTTTTTTTAAATATCGGGGAAGCCAAACAACTCATTGGAACAGACAGGCCTAATGGAGGCTCCACACGCTCCATCCTGGCCCTCACTGTCTGCCCTATTGCCCCCACCTCGGTTGCTCATGAGGCTCCGGACGCCCTGCCGCTCCTCCAGGCACTGGCTCAGGAGGAGGAGGCTGGTTGTGGCCAGGTCCCCCAGGGTGCAATCCGACAGCCGCAGTGACAGCAACATCCGCTGCTTCTCCTCGTCCACGTTGGTCACCTTCGCAACCACCGTCTGCCCCTCGACAAAGTGGTCACTTGTGGAGGTCACAAACTTGTCACTCAAGATCTAAAGGGAAGAAGCAAGCACAAATGAACAAAGGAAAGGAAGCCTCTATTAGAACACCCCCTTGAAACACCCAGAAAGAAGTATGTGAGGCAGTAGGTGTACCCCAAGTAAGTACCTCCAGTTCTGAGTACAGCTCTATTCCCCTTCCATAAAAACACAGGAGGCGCCCTGGCTACCAACCCAGCCTTCTAAGGCCACCCAGCTAAGAAGGCCCAGAGCAACTCTCTGCCCCTCACTATACATGCTTCTGGGGCCCTGCCCTCTGCTCCCATCTTTAAAATTGTTTTGGCAGGAGATGCAAATGAGACCTGCCCAGGTAAGACATGAAGGAAACACACTGAGGGAAGGGAAAAGAGATTTATGAATTGTCTGTGGCAGGAATGAGCGATGCGCCCTTTGCTCTCCATTATCTTATATGGGCTTTGATAAGACTCCCTTGCCCTCTGGGTCTCAGTGTATGCAGTAGGCCTAAGTGATCCTATGGGATCTCTAGGACCTCTCCAGTTGCAAAAGCTGGCCATCCAAAGACCTTCCCAATGCTAGAGTATGAAATGGAAAAGCTACCCCTTCCTCCAGGACACAGCCCTGAGCCAGGACACACAATGGGCAAGAGGAGTGTGCAGATGGAATGTCAGCTCCGCTCCTCCTCAGCCAGCACCTTTATGTGAAGCCCCTGCAAGTGTTTCAAGAGAATATAGAGTATCCTGCTCTTCCCCACCAACCCTCCGGGTCTGTGACCCTGTTGTCTCCCCTCAAAGGCCCTTGTGCAGGAGGCTGAACTTACAGCTTTGGGGGCCAGTCCACTAAGACCTGAGGGGAACTGGACGAACACACCGTAGTCCTTGATGTTCTTCACAAAACCAATGAGCAGCATTCCAGGATGGATTTCTGAGAAGCTCTTGGGATTCTGGCCACCTTCTACTGCAGAGACCAAGGCTGGCTTCCTGCAAAGGAGCTAGTGGACTTCATCAAGGAATGTTCCAAAAAGGGTAGATGCACTGTCCACCTCTCCCGTCTCCTTTCCCCACTCTCTCTACCACAGTGATTCTCTGAGTGTGCAGACCAGCAGCCATCGCATCGCCTGGAACCTGAGGCAAACCCTTACGTACCACCCCAGACCGGCTGAATCAGACGGGGTAGGGGCAATGGGGACAGGAGGCTCTGTTGGACCAAAATCCTCCAGGTGACTCTGATACACACTGAAGTCTGGGAATCACTGCTTCATCCCTTTTCTTATCAACTTACCTCCAGATTACCAGAGGGGACCGGAAGGGAATGGCTCATCTCCGGTGGCGTGGCAGCTGGATCAGCCATGACACCACCCTCTTCCCTCCATCTTATACCAACCAACCCTATTGCACTTCCTCTGTCCATCTTCATTCTGAGATTTCATTTTACATTCTGTTAGAAAGAAGGCAGGGTCTTCCTTCTAAGCTGCCACACTAAGACCAAAAGGAATATTCTAAGACCCGTATCTCAGCAGGGGAGGGGGGAGGTAAGGAAAGAGGACAGCAGGTATTGACTAACTGCTCCCACTCGGGGACAAGCACTAAGCGCCCTGAGAAGGCTGGGTGTGCCACTGGGGGTGTCCCACTGGGCCCGGCATGCCACATGGCCCCTTCCCCAACATCCTGGACTCCCACTCTGCGCTGACCACTAGCATCTGCAAGCAGCACCTCAGTCTTGCTCTAATTACCACCAGGGAAACAGAGGCAAAGTGCAGGCTTGCCCACTGCTGTGGTTCAACGGGTGTACATCTGAAGGCAGAACCCACTTCTTTCCCATGAGTTTCCAACTAAGAGCAGAACCTGACCCGGAAGTCCCCTGTGCCCCTCCCCAGAAGCACAGCGCTCCCCGACCTCCACTTCCATCACCCCTACAGCCCAGTAAAGGATACAATCCGCTCCTCACTCACGCTCAGACACAGGACCCGGTGCAGGGTGTCACCTGTCTGGAGCCAGTGATACAACAGTGGGCCGTTGGTGACATGGTCCGACAGATGAGCCGTGGGGAGGAAGCCGGGGATGTTGTGGGGCAGGACAGCCACCTTCAGCCCGTCTTTGGTCTTCTCTAAAACCTTCACATCCACCAACTACCCAGAGAGGAGAAAGACAAAAATACAGCACTTGTCTTGGGAAGAGAGCAGCCTGTGTGGGTCAGGTGGCGATCAGAGGCATCATATTCCAGCACCAGGGATGACTGAGAGGTCGAGATCAGAGAAGCAGCTTTCTCCCACTCCTACCCCATGCTCCCAAAGACCCAGCAGGCACACACACCACACACACAGCAGGACCCATCTGCTGCTCAGGTCGTTCCTCTCCCAAGTCCCTCCAATGGGTCCCAAAGGAAAGACAGCCTTGTATGCTGGCCCAGAGCCCACAGAGGAAAAGGACAGCAGCACGCCAAGACCAAGCCAAGCTGCAGCAGCATTCTCCTTTCCTAAACAGCTTCCCTGTGCTCTGACCCANCCAGCTTCCAGTGAGCCCTTGTGAGGGTTTCTCTCTGTTCCATTCCATCTCCACTTAGCTGGCTCAGGCCCACTACCCTCATGCTCTCTTCCAGATCCCTTAAAAAGCAGCCCTCCTACTCCTTCAAATCTGTGTTCCCAGGGTCATCAAGGAGAGGAGCCTGTCCAGGGGAAGGGTTACCTGGCCCGCGTAAAAGACACTCTCTGGGTCAGGGACGTACTCGGCACTGAGCTCGTGCCTGGGCACCAGTCCCTGCACATCATTGTAGAACTTCACGATGCAGCCGTAATCCTTGACCCGGAGGATAAAGCCGTGCGTCTGCAGACCAGGCTTGGCATCATCATAGCAGGTAATGGCAGGAAGTTTGGACTCAACCAGGGTTTTCTTCAGGGTCATCATGAGCTTCTTGGCTTTAGGGTCACAAAGCAAAACCTAGGGACAGGATACTGGCTGTCACCAAGTCATCCATTATTGAGGGAGCCACTGCAAAAGGGAGTCTCTGCCACCCCCTGAGCCCGAGGGCCATGTGCTGTGCTGTGCTTAGTCGCTCAGTTATGTCTGACTCTTTGCAACCCCATGGACTGTAGCCCACCAGGCTCCTCCATCCATGAGGATTCTCCAGGCAAGAATACAGGAATGGATTGCCATGCCCTTCTCCAGGGATCTTCTCAACTAAGGATCAGACCCAGGCCTCCTGCATTGCAGGAAGATTTTTATTCTTTACCATCTGGGCCACCAGGGAAGCCCAAGAATACTGGAGTGGGTGGCCTATCCCATCTCCAGGGGAACTTCCTGACTCAGGAATTGAACCGGGGTCTCCTGTATTGCAGACAGATTCTTTACCAGCCAAGCTATCCGGGAAGCTCTGATCTGGGCCATGGTCAGTCCCTAAAAACCTGCTATCTCCTTCTCTCTGAGAAAAATCTCAGCTGTAGATCCTCCCTGCTTCCTGCTAGATGATAACCCAGGGAGCGTTCATCTCTATTTCAAATGTATCTCCTCCTGTAAGTGACCCCCTGGGCCTAGAGCAACACTCATCATGCCATCACACCTCTAGGGAGGCCTGTGTCGGATATTCCTACTTGGTCTCCGCTCCCTCTCTCCTGGAGCGCTGCAGCTTGTCTAACAGAATGAATGACGGAATCTGTTCAGCCCCTCAGTCCTCAGTACTGCTGTGTGTTCACCCCCCTCAATACAGCTGTGTACTAGCTATAAACTATGATTGAGAGACCCAACCACCTCTTATTCCTCAGAAGGTCATCTCCTTGAAGGCAGAGAAATTCCTTTAACTTCCTAACCCCACTAATGTAAAATTTTGTACCAATGGCTAATCAATATCTTTGTTGACTCAATAACGAAATTACATGAAAATAAGAAAACCTAACACTTGAGTGTGCATACACCAGGCCCTAAGCACTGTGTATTATCATGTGTACTCTTTATAACTCTGTGCAGCTTCTCTCAGGTCTATGTTGTAAAACACTCAAGTTTGGACAGCTTTGTTTGGGCTACTTCTGTACCTGACACATCCCCTGATCTTCCTAAACCTTCCAAATCCTACTGATCCTTTCCAGTTCAAGCCCCACCTCTGCCAGAGATCTAGAAGACATTATTATCACATAGAGCTCAACTTGAAAAGTGGTTCTGCCATTTATTAGCTACATGACTCTGGGCAATGCCATATGACACTTGGCATCCCTAGCCTTTCATTTAAGAGGAGGAAAACAGCACTTCCTTCTTATGGCCATTTTAAGGATGAAATGAAATGTTATGATGTGCCGAGCTCAACAACTGGCACAGAATACATGTTACATGGTAGCTGCTATTGATCATCACTTACTCTCAATGACTCTTGCTGCCCCGGCCTACCCTCATCTCCCTGTTCTGAGATGTGGCCACAGCATACAGCCTGCACCAAGCCACATGGCCCACACTCTTCAGGAATGGATATTTTAACCCTCAATTATACCATACAATTATCAAAGGCAGGGACCCATTTTTCTCTTCCCAGTGCCAGGCACAGCACTGCAGACATTATGTGGACACTTTGTGGAAAAAGGCAGAAACTCTACCTGTGAAGCACTGCTCTCTTCCTATCTGGCCAACCCCACCAGCAACCCTTCGGGAGGCTCACCCGGCACTTGACCTCATCCCCAACGTGGTATTTCTTCTCCGGATTCTTTATAAGGATGTCGGCCAGGTGCATGGTAGGTACCAGGCCCCTGATCTGCCTGCCCATCTTCACCACCATTCCGTGTGGCTTTATGGTCAGCACTTTGCCCTAAGAATCCAAGGAAAAGATGCCATGATGCCTCAAGAATGTCTTTCCTATACTTCTTACAACAAAGCATCTCACACCTCTCTTTCAAAGTTTAGCTTCCTGGGGTAACTACCTGTTGTTCTAGATCTCATAGGGGCAAAGCACATGCCCCACACTGGGCTGGATGCAGTAGGGTTTATTTATGAGACCCGTCACATTTTTTTGTGTGAGTATCTGTCTGTCTTACCAGTTCCATCTCCAATGGAGGGGACTATGTCTGCTAAGGAATGAACTCTACATAAAAAGGGGAGCTGCTCCACTGGGGCTAAGTGGCTATAGACAGGAGAGGCAACTGGAACTGACTCCTTTCTAATATCCCAGGTGGCTAAATTACCAAAGAACTAACTTTTGACCTGGTCTAATAAACACCATCAATTCTCAAGACTGATGATCTACTGCCTCTGTGTAGTGGCATGGTGTTAGCAAGACTTTACTGTGAAATTAATTTCAAGTCACCCAAGAGAAGAAAAACAAATCCCAGTTAGCAGGCAGAGGGAAGGAGCATGTCTTTAAATGTGTTCATCTAAGGACTAATGAGCTGCCAGTTAACCTGTGAACTAAAGACTATCTGAAGGTGGGAGAGCGCCTAATTAGATGCTTGAGGTCTTACCTTAACCAAAGCCCCAGGTTTGATGTCATGATACCAAAGGAACTGAGCTTCAATAATAGACCTAGAACAAAAGGCAAATACAAGATTAAATACATTAGGGCAGAGGCTGCCTAAAATTCAAGGCTACCAAAATCACACTGGCAGGAAAAGAAACTCTCACCAAGTAAGGACAGGAAACGCCGTGAGCATGCACCACAGATAAAGACGCACACCTCTATACCCCACACAGTGAGTGACAGACTTACGTCCGCAGAGAGAGCAAGGCCAGTTCATCCATTTGGCTGTAGTCGATGATTCTACACTTGTGAGTGTTCCCTGGCTTGAAGGCCTCAGGTTTGAAAGTTTTCTTAGAATTGGAGAGATGGTTGCGCTACAGAGTACCAAGTGATTAAGGACAAGTCAGAGGCAAGAGATCTCAGACAATCAGATATTAAATCAGATGTGCAAATGACTCAGAACATTTATCACCTACCATAAAAACAGCACTCTGATTACATGTTAAAATAATTGCTCTAACTAAAAAACTGTTTTTTACTACCAGAGAATCTCTATAAAGTCAGAGAACAGTCTAGATCATGGGTCAATAAATCACAGTTCACAATGAAATGCCTATTTTTGTAAGTAAAAAAGTTTGCCTAGCACATAGCCATGCCCTTTCATTCACATACTGTCCTTGTTGCTTTCAGGCTACAACAAAGATGAGTAGTTAGGACAGAGTCCATATGGTACATGAGTCTAAAATATTTACTATCTGGCCCTTTAAAACAACTTTGCCAAGCCCTGGTGTAGATCCTAACTCATTCTTGTTCCTATCATCAATCTGGTATCAATTAAGGCAAACCAATTTCAAGGTACTCTAATATAACAGAATTTGTTCAAGTTCTTATTAACTGTCTGCCACGTTTGGGGAAATTCAAAAATAGGAAACTAATACTCAGGTATGAAGGAAGCAAAAAGAACCCATGTCCCCAAAGTTCTTCTGGTGATGAGAACCTGATGAAACAAAGAGACTCCTTACCCGAGCATAGGCCAGAGCACCATCCTTCAGCTTAAAGGTGGCCCCGGCATTGCCAAAAAAGCCCTGGACGGGCACGTCATCCAGCACAGCTCCTAGCTGCGGGCACAAGAGCCGGGTGAGTGGGCGCCCAGGCTGCAGGAAGACGGGGCGCAGGCTCAGCCGCACAGCTCTGGTCCGAGGATGCACACAGAGGACACAGGCCCGTACCTAGACAAGGGACACGATGAGGATAAGGCACACTGGAGACAAGACACCCGGAGCCGACTTTCAGGGGTTAAGACTCTCGCTGGGCTGACCAAGTTATAGGTGGAAGTACTAAAATCAGCTTGTACAATCAAACGGCATGTGGCAAATACACACAGAACACCCCAGAGGAACTACGCCTGACTGAATCAATGCTTACTCAAGGGCAGGAACACGGGTATCATGGGTATCAGGGTCCCCTCAACACCATGAGCCTAATAATGCATATGCAACAGGAGCCATGCACTGGCATCACTGTATCCAGAAGCTCATCTGAAACACCAGAAACAGCCTGCTCTGATCACAAGGTCATAGCATGTAAAATGTCTCAACTCTGTACACAAGTATGACTACAAGGAGGAAAAAAGTCATTAGAAAGAGGTTCACCAAAAAATCAATATTATCATCACCAGGTGCTGGGAAAATCTACTTTAAAAAATAAAACAACAAAAACAAAAAACCAACAAGGTCTCTATAGCTTCCATTAGCATGAGTTACTGGTTAAAAAAAAAAATCATTTTGGAATTTTTAATAAAAAACAACAGTTAGAATATATTGGAATTTTCTTCCCAAATATCCACAATCATTGTAGAAAATTTGAATATTTAGATCAGGGAAGAAAAATCACTTAGACTTAACCACTAACACTTGACTGCATAATCAGGCAGTATTTTAGCCAGGTGCACCATAGCACTTTCACATTCACATTCATTTCATATAGCACTTTCATATTTTGAATACAAATGTATATATTAAATATACATTTTGTTCTCCTAAGTTAACACTTTCTTAGAACACTTTAAATTATAAAGGCAAAAGTTTCACTACCAAGAGAGAAAAAGAATCAGAATCTATGAAACAAAAATTACAAGGTGTTTTCTTTTTCATAGGCTCCTATTCTAATCTCAATCCCCAGAAATAATCACTGACCATTTCCTATGGTCCTTCCAAGACACCTTTCATTCTCTTCACCACCCCTAACACCCATACAGCCAAGTCCCAGGACCTGCCTGTAGCAGCTGTGACACTGGTTGCAACACAAGTGAAATCAAGAAAAGATCAATGCAACATTTCTTACTTGCTGATTTGAGAAATATGTTCCGGCTTTCTTAGGATCCAGGTGCATAAAGTCAACCAGGCCATTGAAGAATGAGAGGAATTTAAGCGTAAGGCCAAGCGGAGTCACCTAGAAATAAACAGAACCAATTGTGAAAAACATCTCTCTGAAAGAATCAGGAAGGAAAGAGACTGTTCATACTAAACATTCAAGGCCACATTACCATAACTCTCCCCTACCCCCCACAACCCTTATCATCTTTCTTAAAGGGGCAGCACAACCCCTGGCACTGGCTCTTCCTATAATCAGTAAGCTCACCCATCACCACTACATCCCCCAGCCTGAGAGGATTCTCCACTCTCAGGATTTCCCAAAGGGATGGAAAGCACTTTACACAAAGATCCTTGAGGAACCGCCAGCCTGACAACTTGGACAAGTTGTTGCTAACTTGGTGATGTGCTCAGGTTAACATGGGAAAACCCACATGCGTGCAAGAGGGAGATACTGACCATGAGCAACTCACCCACCAGAGGCTCGCAAAGCCAAGAAAGCAGGGTGACAAGGCCCTCAAAAGAGAGCACTGAGGTCAGGAAACTAAGTCAGATCCCCAGGTCCTATAGGGTTCACCCTTCTTCCATCTCCATAGAAAGTGGGAGATCTATTCTCTTGGAAACTGTATCAGATTCAAAACACAGGAATCGTGCACAAACCATGAAAATGTGAATTAAGAAAAATTCTGAATATCATACAGATATGAAGACATCCAGCCCCTTTCAGCCATCCAGCTCTTAGGCAGCCAGGTTTATATCCTTAGATCCTTTCTAGAGAAATCTAACATGCCAGAGAAGATTTCTAACAGTGACACCTCGAGGTTTCTTAAAGATGATCCGCTAGCTCCTGCTCCTGACAGGGAAGTCGGCCAGACAGCAAGTCCACCCAGGCTCACAGACTTCCCAGCAGTTTTTTAGTGCCCCTCTCATAAGATGGCAGTCAAAACAAAAACTCAATAGAGAATGGGAGGTTTAAGCTGAGAGCCTCTCCCTAAGGTAGGCTGCAAATGCATGCATGTATCAAAACAGAGAGTAAAAAGTAAGAAAATTAGAACTGATCCATTAAGTTCAACATCATACTAATAGGAGTTCCAGAAAAAGAAAATTAAATACTTTAAACTATCTGATAAAGGGCGTCTATCTAGAATATACAAAGAATTCGTTTTATCATAACAATAAAAAACAATGGATAAAGGACTTGATTCAATATTTCTCCAAAAAATTTATAAATGGCCAATTCAAACATGAAAAGATGCTCAACATCACTAATCATTAGAGAAATGCGTATCAGTGCTCGCTTCGGCAGCACATATACTAAAACTGGAACAATACAGAGAAGATTAACATGGCCCCTGCACAAGGATGGCACGTAAATTTGTGAAGCGTTCCATATTTAAAAAAAAAAAGAAAAAAAAATGCATATCAAAATAACAAAATACCACTTCACACCCACCCCTTCTAGGAGAGCCATAATAAAAAGAAGTGGTGTTAATGAGAATATGAAGAAACTAGAACTCTTAAATTGCTGGTGAGGATGTGGAAATTGCAGCCACTTTGGCTGTTCCTCAAAAAGTTAAACACAGAGTTACCATATGACCCAGCAAGTCCATTCTTAGAAATGAAAACATGTGTCCCCACAAAAACCTATACACAAATTTCACAGCAGCATTACTCCTAAGAGCCAAAAGTGGAAACAACTGAACGTCCACAAACTTCATATGATGGAATATTATTCAGTCATAAAAATAAAAACCTTCAATGAGCTTTGCTGGTAGACAACACTCACGTGCATGTGTGCATGCTAAGTCGCTTCAGTCGTGTCCAACTCTTTGTGGCCCCATGGACTGTAGCCCACCAAGCTCCTCTGTCCATGAGACTTCCCAGGCAAGCATATTGGAGTGGGGTGCCATGCCCCCATCCCCCTCCAAGAGATCTTCCCGACTCAGGGATCGAACCCACATCTCTTAATTCCTGCATTGGCAGGTAGGTTCTTTACCACTAGCACCACCTGAGAAGCCCTCACAACATTCATATGTGTTGTCATAACCTGTTGCTAGAGGAATTAAATACACCCCTGTGACCACTAGAAGAGGATTCTCAGAGGCTTATGCCTGGTTTCTTTCAGACTTCACTCCATGGGCCTTTTCTCTTTGCTGATTTTGCTTTGACTCCTTTCCCTGTAGGGGATCACAGGTATGAGGACCACTACATGCTGAGTCTTATGAGTCTCCATGGGGAATCATCAAACCTGGCAGCGGTCTTGGGAATTTCAAGACACATTAAGTCGAGATTAACCTCCAATGTGCTTTTAGGGGACTTTCCTGGTGGCTCAGATGGTGAAGAATCCACCTGCACTATGGGAGACCTGGGCTCAATCTCTGGGTTGGGAAGGTCCCTGGGAAAAGAGAATTGCTACCCACTCCAGTATTCTTGCCTGGAGAATTCCATGGACAGAAGAGCCTGGTGGGCTACAGTCCATGAGGTTGCAAAGAGTCAGACACAACTGAGCAACTTAGCATGAATGCTTGTGCTTTTTTGAGGATGTTTCTGGAGAATGTGACACATTAAAACAAGTGAGTAAATGAAAAAAGAGAAATACATGGAATCAAAGAAGGTTCTATCCAATACAGAAGAGTGGGGAAGGATCCAGAATGATAAAGACCAGAAGCCTCTGGATATCAGCTATGCAGCAGCTTTTCAAAGCAACCAGACTGGAGCCAGATGACAGTAGAAGGACTCCAGATGGGAAGAAAAATAACAAAGATTATTTTAAAGGGTTTGAAAATATAGAAAATAATGAGGGAAAAATAACTACAGGATGTATGAAGAAACAATGACAGGAAGAGAATTCAGCAAATGAGAGAAACAAAACTGATCATCAACTCCAGGGTTGGGGGAGGAAATGGTTCAAGAAACAAATTATATTACCTAGTTCAGTGAGTAAACAATATTTATGTGGTTGTAATAATTTAAACACTGAATGATGATTTAATCAAAAGTTGGGAGAAGGCAGGAATAAGAGCTGAAATTTCATCTACCTTGATAAAGGGTTAAAACTCAGTGCCTCAAAGTGTTAAACTATGAGATCTAGCAGAAGCATATTACTTAGAAATACAGAGGTAAACTTTAAAAGATAAGCTAAAATAATTAAAGATGGAGGTTCAATGGGGTAAGAGTTCTTCATTAGAAGCCTTTTAATATTAATACCATTTAATCTTTAGGTCAGCACAGTCTACAGCACATATGTAACTGAAGTCACATATGTAATTTTCAGTTTCCTAGCAGTCACACTACAAAAACTACAAAGAAAGAGATGAGATTTGTTTTAATAGTTTATTTAACCCAATACAGGCAAAATATTATCATTTTAACATGTGATACTGGCTATATCTCAAGTACTAATGGCCACATGGGACCAGGGGCTACCTGACTGGACAGCACAACTTTAGACTGTGTGCACACTCCACTTTAATACAAATTATTTTTATTTTAGAAAACAATAGTAACAATGAATGGCTTACCTTCTGTACCTGCGCTTTGACCACCAGTCCTGGTAGCAAACTATTGAGGGTCCAACTCTGCTCCTCAGTAGCAGTGGCAGCAGAAACTTCTGAGTGACCAATAGACAGAGTGACCACTCCTCCACTGCCCTTCACCTCTTCAATGAGGCAGTTCAGGTACTGACCCACCTTCAATTTAGCACCTGCAAGTCCAGCGCCCCAAAAGGAAAAAACATCTATTATGAGAAGAACTTTTAACTTGGGCTCAAGTGACACCTTCAAGATCCATGCCAACTTGTCCAGTTACCATGCAATACTCCCCATATTCCCAATTTTCAAGAAACCATCTACAAAAAAGGGAGTGAAATGACTCTAACTGATCTAGAATCAACTACCACACAAAAAAATACAAAAACCTCAACAAGGCAGGAGAGTGCTGGTTCAGAGGCCCTGAGGGTTCAAATTTCAGTGGAATCTTCTACGTGGGAAAAAGTGAAACTGAACCATCAGATTTTAGTGAGCCTGGCACTCCACACTTACTGAAACGGTGGCATTTAAACATAATCCCCACACAGACTACCTCACAACCACGCACTCGTCCTTCTCCTTTCCCTCACCTTTGTTCTTCTGCCGAATGTACTCCTGGGCTTTCTGCAGTGGCAGAAAAGCTCTGGCCCCACTAACACCGATGTCCACTAGGTAGCCATGGTCTTCCAGGCTGGACACAGTGCCCGTGAGCAGCTGGAGGGAGAGAAGGCATTCCCAAAAGTTCAAAAGTCTATGGTCATAGGACACACAACCAACACTCACTACCAAACACATCAAACATGACTGTCCCCACCACTGGTCTCAACAAATCATCCCAGAATCCCAAGCATCCTCCCACTTTTAAAGTTAAACCTCAATTGCTACAACACAGGGAATACAGCCAATATTTGATTATAACTCTAAATGGAGTATAACCTTCAAAAGTTGTGAATCACTAATATACAACTGTAACTTGTCTAATACTATACATCAACTATACTGAAAAAAATTTTTTTAAGGAAAACAACCTCAATCTCATTAAAGGATAGAAGAGGGAAAGACATCAATCAACTTTAACTCTCCTGGGGTTTGAAGATCTTATGGTTTCCAGACAGTGAGGAGCTGACTAATGGAATGACAAAGAGGGTTCTCTTTCTGGAGGATTTTCGAAAGATAGGCAAGTCTTTCATGTCATATACATGAAAGGGGTGCAGTGCTGGCACCCCCAGTGCCAAGACAACTGAGAATCCAGAGCCACCCTTCTAGCTGTCATCATGTCTTTTCTAAGCACCTCCAACACTCCCCTCACTTCACCAAAAAATCTTGCCAACCTCCTTTACATTTCACTGGAAGCACTGTGGCATTCAAATCTTACTCTAATAATCACTACCTATGTGGCCTTTGGCCACTTAAGTCAGGTAAACATTTTTCAGTCTATTTTCTCAAATGTACACGAGTGATACCTATTGGCCTCACAAGGTAGCTATGAAAATGTCTTCAGAGAAAGTGTCTAAAACAGCAACTGTCAAACAGCCGCCTCTCGGTACTTGTCAATTTCCAACAACTTACTTGTGGTTTGTTCCCCATTCTACTCAACCTTCAGGGCTTGGTCCAAACTTCACTGCTTCTAACCAAATGTTTCAAGATCACATTTATCTCCTTCCTCTTAAGTGAGTACAGTTTACATAAGTGTGTTTTACACCGACTCAACTTGGAGGTGCTGAGCAGGGACTCACATCTCCTGAACCGCCCCTGGACTGGGAGATTCAGTAGTGGAGTATCCATTAATACGGCTGACAGACTAACTGCTCTGTCTACCCTGTCTCTTTCTCTGACAGCAGCCCCCAAGCTTCCCCCACAAATTTCAGTGGCTTTTGAAAAGGACTTCATCTGTGAGGAAGTCTCAGTAAAGAAGGCACTTCAAGAACTTACTTTCTCACCCTTGCTAAGGTTCCTTGGAGGCATCTTTTTATCCCCTACCAGCAAATGTGGGGCTTGCTTTCCCTTTCTCCCATCCAGAATGATGTGATTAGGTTCAAGTCTTCAACTTCCATTAAGTACCCAAAGCACCTTGGAGATCTTCCCCCAGGAAAAGACACACCCCCATGTGTAACAGTTAAGCTCAAAGTGAATGGTAGTCTAGACACCCCAAGAAGGCAGGACACGGAGAAGGCATGTTGCCTGCTCCTCCTCCCTTGCCCCAGATACGTACCATGCCAGGTTTCAGGGTCTCAGCACTCAGCACTTTGTTGACATTTTTGGGGTTCAGTGATAGCATGACATTCTTTTTGCCCCCCTTTGTGGTATCGAGACTGCTCACCACACATCTCACCAGCATTCCAGGTGAGAAGAGCTCAGGCAAGCCAACCAGGTCCTGCATGATACAAGTGAGAAAAATCTGATACATATCTTTCCCCTAAACTGAGAATTCACTGCCCGACCCTGATTCAGTGGTTTCTCATCCTTAGATTCCCAGAGCCCAAAAGGCAGTTGAAGAGAGTAACTGCCCCCCGACAAAGGCATTAGTTTGTGGCCATATCACAGTCTTGGATTACAGGTAAGGTCTCCAAACATCTCCACACAACAGGCAGATGTAAAATGACTTGTCAAAACAATCTTCTACAATTACTGTACTTCCTCATTTACCTCATCTTCCACTTACTTCTCAGCTTTCTGCAATCTGCATTCCACCCCCTCACTCCATACTTGATTTCTCCCAACAAAATCTCCAATGACCTGCACGTGGCTAGATGCAACAGCCCACTTTACAGGCCTTCTCTCACATGACCTTAACAAGGCATTTTGCTCTGGTGCTGATTCCTTCCTGAAACATTTTCTCCCGGCTTCTGACCTTTCCTTCATCGGTTTTTTCCTCTACCTCACTGGCCCCACCTTCTTCTGACTGCAACTCTCCTTTTATTCAGCAACTAACATACACTGTTTACTCCTGGTTCAGTCTTTCTTCTCCCTTTGTGTGCCCCCTATAAGCAACTTCTTCCTCCTCCACAGCTTCAACCACCATCTACCTACACAAAGCAATCTCACTCGGCTCTAGAATCACCTATTTACTGGTCGTCTCAATTGTACCTCAAACTCAACACAACCAAAAATCAAATCATGATCATCTCTCCCAATCCTGGTACCCTTTCAGGGTTTCTTATCTCAAGATGACCTGGCCAACTGTTAACCATGCTCAACAGAAACCTAGGACTCATTTCTGACATGTCTCTTGGCCTTGCCACCCATATGGAATCCATCACTAGGCACTGACTTTACCTCCTCAGCCCTCAGTAAATCCATCAATCTCAGAGCCTGGACTCTAACAACAGCCTCTGAACTAGTTCCTAAGCAACTACTCATGCTGCTTTGATTCATTCTGTCTTCTGTCTACGTATCACCCACCTCAATGAGAGCATTTCAAGGGCTTCCAATTGATTCCAGAAAAACCAATCCTTAACATGGTCTAGTCTCCACCCAGCCCTCCAGCCCCATCTCACACCACTCTCCCTGCTCTCTGTTCTAGTCACACCGGCCGTCTTCTGCTACATATCAGGCTCCTTCTGCCTGAACTCCCTTCCTTCCTTCTCCAGCCTACCCTCATCCTTCACATTCAGCTCAGGTATCCCTTCCTCGGGCAAGTTTTCTAAGTTTCCTGGCCTAAGTGAAAGTCCCCTTATTTAAAAAATTTAAAAAACCTAAAAATAAACTCTCTTTCATAAACTCTCTTGGTATCTTGTACCTTTCCTTCTTAGCACTTATCAAAGCTGTCATCTTACATCTTACTCCAGTTACAGATTTCATTCAGGTTTCCCTTACCTGCAGGGGTTCTTCTTGCGCTACCTGCTCATTCAGTTTTTCAGTGTAAGCATCACAGATTTCAGTCACTTGCACACACCCTTGGAGGCCATTGGGGAGACTAATCACCAGTTCCAGTTCATTTACCTCTTTCACGCAACCCAAAATCCGCATCCCCTCACACAGGGACTAGAAGAGAAAGAGTGAATTATGTACAACAGGGAAGAGAACAATGAATAGGGAGGTAGGGAGGTGGGGAGGTGGGGGAATCTGGCTTCTAGTCCTAACTCTGACATAAAAAAGCTACAAGAGAGACATACGTGTATATATCATACACTCGTCATATTTCTGACTGAGCACCATGAGAAGCTGAAATGATACCACTGTGTTTACAGCATGAGGGTGTTGGAGGGCACGCTCACCTTTTCCTTTATTCCACGCAACCTAAGCTCAAATGCCTGGGAGGCAACGCAAGGCAGAACACAGGCCAGGGGAGACTATGGAAGTCCGGCATGTGTGTGCCAGGTCTAAAGGGCACAAACACTATTCAGCAATGTGTGGCTACAAATATGAGGGAGTGCATATTTGCATTATCAGCACTTTCAAGTTTCTATAAGAAGCCAGAAATCACATTCTTAATGTAAAATTTTTAAGTTTTCTAATGTTGGCACCAACTTTTTTTTTAAGTAACACACAGGAGGAACAAAATATTTCTACAGGCTGGAAGTATCTTTCCCTTCACTATCTACATCCGTGTGTATCTTTCCCTTCACTATCATTTGGCTTTTTCTTTTTTATAACTAAAGTACCAGATTTACCTAAAAATTTAAGGGACATAAAAAGACCGCTTCACTTCTCTGAGGTAAGTTTCCACATCTGTGAAATGAAAGGGTATTCATTTCAGAATGACTGTTAAGGGTACTGCCAATTCTAACCTATGAATTTACTAAAACACAAGTTCCGTGAGAGCATCAGCAGGATGAGGGACTTAGCCGCTAAAAAGAAAAACAACACACAATCCATGATCACAGGTATTGACAAAACTGGAATAAGACATAAGATATACATACATGTATATATACGCAAAGAATGAAGGAAAAATGGGAAGAGGAAAGGAAGAAGAACACATCAGAGTTTGTTCAAAACCAAACACTGGCAAACCTCCACATTAAGGATTTCAAACTTCTCTCTGACAAACTTGCTGCTTTCTCTGGTTTCAACTTTCAACTTTTTTGTTTTTGCTGGCTCTTTCTGGATCTTTTTCCTTTTGGTAGATTCCTCTTCAGTAGAAATCTAAAGTGGTGGAGGGAGGGGGAGAAGATCCAAAAAAATAAAAAGTAGCTTATCCAGGCCTTTCCCTTCAATTTCAGTTCATCTGTCACCCTGTTTTGTCACCCTTCTACTCCACCCCACTCCCAACTGTTCTTTAATTCCTGCCTCGTGGCCAGTCTCCCATCCTGACACCAATGCTCCCTATGACGAAAATCTGAGCTCTATTCTAAAAGCCTCTTCCCTTCTGTGTTCTTCCTCCCTTGACAGGGATGGACACAGGGGTTCCCCGGTGGGAGAAGCAATTTGGAACAGTGCATGAAAATAAAAAAGGTAGAGTCACAAAGATCTCCACCATAACAAGCTGTGTGGTTTCAGCTGAACTATATAACCTCTCTGGGCCTCAGTTTCCCACCATGGAATGGTGATCTCTGCTTCACAATACAGTTGGAAAGAGTACATAAAATAGACCTATGCATACAATCGAATGTTAGTTCTGGTCCTGCTAGCATTTGGAGTACAACCTACTTTAGGTTAAGATTTTAAATTCTAAGGCAAATCATGATCATTTTACAGAGCCTCATTCAAACCTCATTCAAACTGTTTTCTCTCCATCCTTAATCAACACGGTAAGTTTCTGAGAATGAGAAACAGGGAATTCCCTGGCAGTCCAGTGGTTAGGACTCTGCACGTTCACTACCGATGGTGCAGTTTCGATTCCTGGTCAGGACATTAAAATCCCACAGGCCTCCCAGTGTGGCCAAAAAAAGAAAGAACGGCACTGAAAATTTATATAATAAATGCCACTCATGCTTCAAAAGATATAGCCTTGTGGTGGGATGGACTCTCTAACAAGTTAAATTTATAAAAATAGACTTCAACAAGAATCCTATCTGGAAAACAAGGCTCACTCTCCAGGACACTAGAGAGAAAGTGTTCTGTGAGTCTTCCCAAGAAAGCACACCACTTACATCAAATAAGTTGTCTTGTTCAACTGATTGCTGGAAAGTTTTCTCTGATTTGTGGGTCTTTCTTGTACCGCCACGGGGGAAGCTTTCTTCCATGGCCGCCATGTTTGAGTGTCCTAAAAACAATGCAAAAAGTTGGTAATACGTACTTTAGTGTCAAGGCTGTGATCAATGGGCAAGAGACAGAGCCTTCTAGCACCAGTGTGCTAGACAGCATTCAGGACTAAGAAATGGATGGTTTGATGCCAGGCAACAGATAATCCATAATTCATCTTTCTAAAGGTCTTTGCTTCAAAAACCACACATTCACATGGTTTTCTCCAGTAAGTTATACTTTCAATGGAGCATCATTAAGCAGTTTCAGTTAAGTCACAGATACTCAAATGACTACAAACCCCTTACCTTCAAAGAACATGCATACTTCTAAGATAAAACAATTCTGCAAATAATCTAAAATACAGGTCAGGTTATAAGCTATCAAAAAGGAGGTAGAAAATAACGAGGCTTCAGCAGAGGAGGAAGGCTTCCTTAAAAAGATGCTGCATGTAGGAGCTGCATGTTAAAAGATGAAAAGGATTTTGACAGATGAAAAAGGAAAAGCAGAATGAATATGAGAAAAAGCATGGAGACAGGAAAAACCAATTATTCTGAGCACCAATACGTCTGTCAAATTGCTCACAAAGACTTCCCTGCTGGTCTAGTAGTTAACAATCCTCCTGGCAATGCAGGGGACACCATTTTGATCCCTGAATCCAGGAAGATTCCACATCCCATGAACAACTAAGTCCATGCATTACAACTACTGAAGCCGCAGCACTGCAGAGCTTGTTCTCCACAAGAGAAGCCACCGCAATGAGAAGCCCCTGCTCGCCACAACTAGAGAAAGCCTGCAGAAACAAAGACTCAGTGCAGCCAAATAAATAATACATAATTTAAAAAATATTTAAAACTGCTCATAAGCTTGCTCGTCTTTCTTTGAAGAACTGTTTCAACTAGATTACGAGGTGAGAATTAAATTTTAAAAGACAGGTTGAGCTCTCAGTGTCAGATCTTTCATTTGGTGTGAGTAAATTAACTTTTACTTGGGCAAATTAGACCCTTAAGAAAAGGAAAAGACAGAACAGTAACCAAAACATGTATATACTGCAGGCTATAGTCTGGACAAGGAGACAGGACTGAAGCTTCGAAGGTAAACCGACTGCGTGCTAAGCCGCTTTGGTTCTGTCTGACTCTTTGCGACTCTACAGACTGTAGCCCGCTATGCTCCTCGGTTCACGGGATTCTTCAGACAAGAATCCGGAATGGGCTGCCATTTCTTCCTCCAAGGGAATCTTCCCAACCCAGGGATCGAACCTGCCTCTCTATGTTTCCTGCATCGGCAGGCGGGTTCTTTACCGTTAGCGCCACAAGGAGATAGAACTGAAGGAAGGTACACACCGGGTAGGATTCAACTGCAGTACAACAGAGAAATAACGAGAACCAGAACTAGGTTTAAGTGAGAACAGGAGGAGGGGCTGGTTCTGAGAGACACTTGGGAATAGGAATCTAAAAAGGCTTGAGACTGTGGAAGAGGTGAGGACCTAGAGGGAGCCTAGGAAAGAGCTGGAATAAGGAATGAATGTATTTTGTTAAAAAAAAAAAAAAACAGGACAAAGCAATGCGGTCTAGTTTACTAAGAATTTGACCCTTAATTTCACTTCACAGAAGGGGAAACTGAAACTTCAAAGAGTAAAGTGAGCCTGCGACAAAGGGATCTGAGCTACTTCCTAGGAACATAACCTGACGTTACAGGGACCACTCCAGCAGAGCCGGCTTCTGAGGTTGAATGCGGTGGCCTAACCACTCACCCGGCACTGCGGGTACATGGCAGGGATCCAAGGCAGCTAGTCCTGGGACAGACCTGGAAGCCACGAAGTTTCCACCCTTGTCGCTTTTGCCCCCACTCACCAGCCCCGGGACGCCAGCACTTCTACTTCAGAGGCCGCGCCACTGTAATCACACACGCGGAGACTGGTACACCCGCAGCCTAACTCTGCTCTTCCGGAAGCGTGGGCGGGCTCAATGCCCTATTTCCGTTACTATACTGGATCCAGTTCAACAGGGAGGGGGAGGAGATTTAGAGACAGGAAACGGAAGGGCGGGGCTTATAAAGGTAGCCAATCGACGCAGAGGGCCGAACACTTCAGGCCCGTTTAACGTGTGAGGGGGAGGTGGTGTCTTCCGGCGGGGTCGAGGGGCAGCAGCGTACGGTGAAGGACATCGGCCGTGGGGTTTGAACCCTTTGAAAGGTGAGTGTGGAGGGGAACATGGATTTAGACCGCGCGCCTCCGCTTTGTGGGGCCGGCCTGGAATCAGACTGTCTCCTGGTCCGGGCCCACCGCGAGGCCTTCGCTTTGGTGGGGGCTGGCGGAGGGTGGTGGTAAATAGAAAAGGAATTAGAGAAAATGAAGGCCGGGCGTGAGGGTTCGGACAGTGATTGGGAAGCCTCGGCGCGAGGCTCCTAAAGGCCCTTAGAATGTATTTTCCAGTGGAGAAAAGGAGGCCCGCAGGGAAGGGAGGCCCCTCCAAGGTCACTGAGTGACGTATTATTGGATCAGAACGGACTTAACGACCCCACCTCTCGTCTTAGTAACCTCTCTTCCACTGTATGCCCACAGCAGTTTGTTTCCACCGAGCTATGCTTAGGAAGCTGTCCAGCCAGGTCTCCTTTAGCTGCGCTGCAGCCTTTTGTCCGGCGAGAGTGAGTGTGGCCCGGCCCCGGGTAAGCGGGTTAGATATCTGTGTTCGGTCGGCGGAAAGCCCTTTCACTAATAGTAGCTAGAACAGAGAGCTATAAACTCCTTGTACCAGAGGCAGCTTCTGGTACCTGAGCGGCTGTCTCTTGTGTTTGCCTCTTTTCACGCGAGATCTCACCATTTCGGGTAGGTGTCCTGTCAGACCGACCAGCAGTACCGAGAAACAGAAAGTAGCGAGGGTAGTGGGTCACTTTGGGCCTTTTCTGAAGTGCCCATTTTACAGGTAAAGAGAGGCATGTAAAGATTAATTATATTTAAAAGTAGTTCGCCGCGCAATTAGAAACAAGCGAAGATCCCATGGCTTAGACTTTGCCATAGGCTACAATGTAACAATTAGTACGGTTCTGTTTAATTTTAGGTATTTTCATTCATGTCTTTCTAAACTGATGTATAACTCAAAAGGAAAGCAAGTTTCGGTTTAATTATTCCACAAAGTACACTTAACACAAGGATTCCTGACCTTTGTCCAAAAGTAACCTGAAGTTTGCTGAGGATACTAACCGAAGTGCTTACTGGCTTGCGGTTGTTCAGCGGCAGCATCTCACTTCCCCTTCCAGCTCAGTGTTTTTCAGATCTCGACTAAATTGCCGCTGGTAAACTGTGCCTTCCCTACAGTCAGAATTAGTCCTTTGTGGAATATTGCAGACATCAGCCTTCCTTCTGTATTGTATAGAGGGAGATTTAAGGCACCTTAAGATTGTTTCAGTTGGATACCACATTCTTCTGAAAATGTTAGACACAAGTTAGTGGGAATTAAGCCCTTGTTTTCTGTAGGATTTTTCCTAAAAATCTGCTTGATACTGTTAAGGATCCAAAAATCAGTCCTGAAGATAAATGGGAAAGCATGTCTTTAATAAGTTTACTAAAACCTTTAATATAAAAGCCATATCATAAAATTTTCTTTTAATGGAGATTTTCCTAGTTGGACTGGACTGGCCAAGGCCTCTAAGGAGACCCAAGGAAGTTTGGAATCCTCCATTGCTTCTTGAAACAGTGTTCACAATTAAGGTCATTTGTCAAGGTTTTCATTGCCAATTCAATGCTTGTGAATGCCCCTGAAGGCCTTTGAATGGCAAACTGTAGAGTGCCGGTTTCCATAGCAGCAACTTCCTCACAGGTTTCCCCTGAGTCTATCTCATCATCAAGAGTCGGCTGAGTCACTGCCACTGCCTACCAATCTCGACCGGACCTCGACCGGCTCGTCTATATTGCCAATCGACTCGGCGTGGCGTCGGTCGTGGTAGATAGGCGGTCATACAGACGAATTTCGAGTGTTGCTCTGGTGACATTTGATGTGCCTTTATAAAAGAAATACATGCCTTTGTGAAATACATAGGCTCTATAGATGTAATCCCCTTTTCAAGCCTGCTGTATATTCAAGGGTTCCCCCCCCTATATAATTACTAATAAGAGCTTGGTTTTCTGTTACTGCAGTGTTTTTCAAACTTTAACATACATTGGAATCACCTAGACTGCATATTAAAACAGATTGCTGGGCCCCAGAGTTTCTGATTCAAAAGGCCTAAGAATTTGCATTTCCAATAAGTTTCCATGGATGCTGACAGTGTAGGGACCAAACTTTGAGAACCTTCGATGTGCTCTATAATGCCCAGAAATAGGAACTTTTAATATTTAATATTGCAAGGGGACATCTTTTCATGTCTGAATTTAAAGATCTCCATGCATTGTTTCCTCCCATGGGAACATCATTTATCAGTTTCCTGTAAATGCACTTGTAGTTATTTCCATAAACTGTATTTCAGTTACCATCCTTGAACCATACTACATGTTTCCACTTTATAATGTTTCTCTATAAGGATAAATTCCTGGTGAACAAATTGAACCAACTAGATAAAAGGATAAACTATACCCTGTCATAATTCAGTAGATATTACAGAATTGCATTTTAGGAAGGTTGTACTCACTCCAGTTTACACTCCCTCCAGGCAGCAGAGAGACTGCTTATTTTCCCACATTCCCACTACTGCTGCTTATGATGATAAATTTATCTTTGCAGTCTGATGGTTAAATATTTGTCTCATTTCATATTTCCTTCACTGATCATGAGGTTGATTATCTGTTTCTTCAGCCACCTTTGTATTTTCCCTTCCCTAAGGTGATTAAAATGTTTGCCCATGTTTTCTTCAGATATTTTGGTTTCACTTTTTACATGTTTTCATCTGTTTTTGGTGTAAGGAGTAAGGATTTCAGCTTCCCCTCCACCACCAATAGTTAGTATGTATTAATTCCATTTGGTAATAAATAATCCTGTCTCCTCCTTCCCATGGAGGTCCTAAATTATTTATAGGAAAAACTGTAAAAAGTGGTGTTGCAAGGTGAGCTATTTAGTTAGTTGTTTTGGTTGTTAACCCTCTGAGAGACTTTGAAAAGTATCACAAGCTCCAACTTTCAACTAGACTTAAAACTGATGGAATTCCATGTACAGTGTGCTATGATATATAGAGCCGGAAATGAAAACATCATCCTATTTTGGGTCAGAAGATGTTGGAGTTAGAGACTACTGTGTTCTGTGTGTTATTTGATGTACATTCTGGAATGTTATGTGATAGCAACCAAGACAAAAGTCCTCCTTCCAAATTCTTAGCAATGTTTTTTCCACCATTTTGCTACTGATTTGTTGGGTGAGGCATACATAAAATTTACAATATTTATATGCAATATGTATATGCAATATACAATACTTATAAGACTTTAATTTAAAAAATTTTTTTTTCTTTTAAATAGCATCCAAACCAATTTGTTGCCTTCTTTCTTTTTTTAAAAGATTGAAATCATGGCAGGTCCAGAAGCTGATGCCCAGTTCCATTTCACTGGTATCAAAAAATATTTCAACTCTTACACTCTCACAGGGAGAATGAATGTAAGTATTAATGATACCTTTAAGTAGTTATATTTTAGAATAATATAGATGTGACAACAACTCTTATTGCTTTTTCCTTTCTTTTTTAGTGTGTGCTGGCCACATACGGAAGTATTGCTTTGATAGTCTTATACTTCAAGTTAAGGTCTAAAAAAACCCCAGCTGTGAAAGCAACATAAACAGTAAGGAGATAACATTTAAAACTTTATGACTTTGCCATTTTGATGTTAGGGTTCCCCTCCCCCACACTATAAAAGTTATACTGTTGTCATTGTTCAAAATTTTATTACACTCAAAAAAAAGAAAAATATTGCCCATGTCTCCATCACCCTGACAATTTTTGTTAATATCTCAGTTTAGCTCTTTTTTATTGTGATTTGGTTTCCAATGGCTATAATCCATCTGTAATTTTGCTTTATAACATGTATGTTCTCTATAAATTTGACTGCATGGGTGCTCATGGATATATGATTTATTTTATACAGATCTGTTTCCTACTAAAATTTTTTAAAATATAAATAACATTACAGTGAGTGATTTTGAGCAACAAGTGTTTATACGTGATTGTTCTCTTAATTAAGTGCCTTCTGAAAGGGTTGTGGGACACCTAGCTTTCTCTCTCTCCCCACCCACCTCCTACAGTGTTAAATAATGTCAGTTTCTGATTTTTGTTAGTTTGATGAGTAAAAATTTTTTTTTGTTAAGTTGTATATTTTTTCCATTTGATTATTACCATTTGTATTTTTAACATTCTCTGTGTTTTTATTTATTTGGGACTTTCTTTTTGTAAAGATCCTCTCTTTCTTGTATAAGCTTTTTGTAATTTTTTTGGTAGTAATTATTTGCATTCAATTTCTGGGAGGTTCGTGGATAGTCTTTTACTAATAATTACTGAGTCTTAAATGCAGAATTGAACACGTTTGTGTCTAAACTATTTTTGCTTTGTTTATAGGATTCTGAACTGTACATTATCTGTTAAATTCCCATGCCTGAAGAAGCTAATGTCAACTCATCATGTGATACTCAATTTGTACAATAAATTATGAACCTGGAAAAGCTGGTTGTCTTTATTTACAAGATATCAAAAATATAAAAACTGTACAAAATGCAACAAAGGCAAAAAACTGGCAGTAACTTGGTCTAAATCTTTTAGTTTTCCAAAGCAAGGCTCAGTACTGGAGGTAAGCAACTGAAATGTCTGACTTCAAGTGTACTAGGTTGTATGTAGCCATTTTAGCTGAAGTAGAACATGGAAGTTAATTTCATCTGGTTTAAAGAGTGTTTGGGTGCACTCAATCCAACAGGTATAGATTCAGATGTCAGTGGATGGTTGTACTTCATCTATTTCTCCGAAAGGAATTGTAGTTCATCTTAGCCAGTTAACATACATTCCACTAATCATGAACCAAGCAAAAATGTTAGTGGATCATATAACATAGTACTTGAGTGCCATACAGTAACTACATTTTTACAGCAGAAACATACATGCTCATGGAATTCTTCAGCTAAAATTCAATATGGTATTATATTACTCAATTTGAATCTTGAAGCAGGATGAATTATTGAAATCAATTGATTTTTTTAAACATAATAAATTAAAATAGCATTTGAACAGAAAATGCATAGTTTCCACACAATCCAAAGCACCATGAATGTCCCCTCCACAAACATAATACCTCTTATTCAACTAACGGAAATTAGTTAAATGTGGTTGCTATAGAAACGTGGAACTGTCCTGTACAGATTTTCTAAGCAGCATACTTCCAGATCCATATAGACAAAACATTCTTTGTAGCTTAAATATTAATCACTGAGGTATTTGCTTTTAGTCTCCCTTTTTCAAACAGTAGTTTCCAAAGGTCTTTTAATACCGATGGTTTATTGAGGACTGTAAGCTCCTGCAGCTAGAACCAAGTTTCTTCGAGTAAAATGGAGGTGTACAACTGGTGTTGATTTGGTCATATATGTTCCCAACAATAACTCCTGTGAATTCTCGGGTAAATTTATATGCCCCGTGGCTGTAGTAAAGTCATCAGTCTCTACATCTTCAAATGCTTTGACAGCATCCCATAACCGTACTGTATTATCCATTGAACCTAAGAGGAAATCAAAAGGAAACCATTTAGTAGAATCTGCCATATTTAAATGTCTGACATGTCAAGTATGTTTTATGCATTTACATTTCTGGTAAAAGAAATCTGAACTTAACAACTCTATTCCCTCTAAAGAATTTCAAGCAGTAGCTTAACCTGAGAAGTCAATATACATGTAGGTAGCAGTCCTAAATCATGCTAAGGAGAAGCAAAATCCAAAATAGGACTTAATTTTGCAATTGTCAACATTCAGTGCTTCCTTTAAATACACAACTGACCCTTAACCACAAAGCCAGTTATAGTCATTTACCTGATGCCAAAATTTCACCATCTCTACTAAATCTAAGTGAACAAACTGTATCAGTGTGTCCTTTTAATTCTCCAACCATCAAGCCATGTCCAATATCCCAAAGGAGTACTCTGCCATCTGTTGCTCCTGTAGCCAGGAATCTCCCATTGGGAGAAAATGTCAAGGAATGAATTGGTCCCTAAAAAAAAGTACATGGCAAGAATCAAAAGTAACGTTAAAAATACCCAAGAAAATGAGACAAAAGAACTATAACATAGAGTGGAGTGGTGTGGACAGTATCTTTAAAATGTATGTCACTAGTTAACTTTTTAATCTCAAAAGAACCTTGTGTGCTGGAATAATGAAAGTTAAAATACCTTGTGTCCAGTGAAGATCCTTACACAGTTCCCATTCAGGACATCCCAGAGCCGCACAGTTCTGTCTGCAGAGCCCGTAGCAACATAATTAGAATTTGGATGGAATCTGGTACAATTCACATCAGCAAGATGGCCAGCAAATATCCGTAAAGGCTGATAGTGATCTGTAGCCCAGAGCCTTTTTAAAAAATTATTGAAAACACAAGGTAATTAGTAGTTATCTCTGAATGCCAAGTTCTATCCAAAATACAGAAACAACCATGTGAAATATTAGCTGTAAGTGGGTCCCCCTCACTAGTTTACCTGAGGGAAAGGATGGAATGACTTAGAGACTAAGCTTTTTTTTTTTTTTTTTTTTAAAGCTATGCCATGCAGCTTGCGGGATCTTAGTTCCCCAACCAGGGATTTAACTGGTGCCCTCAGCAGTGAAAGCACCAAGTCCTAACCACTGGACTACCAGGAATTCCCTAAACATTCTTTTTTTTTTTTTCCCATTAAAAAAATTTTGAGGTACGGTTGCTTTACAATGGTGTGTTATTTTCTTACTTTACAGTATTGTAGTGGTTTTTGCCATACATTGACATGAATCAGCCATGGATTTACATGTGTTCCCCATCCTGAAACCCTCCCACCTCCCTCCCCATCCCATCCCTCTGGGTCATCCCAGTGCACCAGCCCTGAGCACTTGTCTCATGCATCCAACCTGGACTGGCGATCTGTTTCACACTTGATAATATACATGTTTCAATGCTATTCTCTCAGATCATCCCACCCTTGCCTTCTCCCATAGAGTCCAAAAGTCTGTTCTATACATCTGTGTCTCTCTTTCTGTCTTGCATATAGGGTTATCATTACCATCTTTCTAAATTCCATATATATGTGTTAGTATACTGTATTGGTGTTTTATCTTTCTGGCTTCACTCTGTATAATGGGCTCCAGTTTCATCCATCTCATTAGAACTGAAAAATATGGAACACTTCACTAATTTGCGTGTCATCCTTGCGCAGGGGCCTTGCTAACCTCTGTATCGTTCCAATTTTAGTATATGTGCTCCTGAAGCAAGCACCCTGAACATTCTTAAAACTAACATGGTCCAAAATTTTTTTAATTCTGTAATCCTTTAGTTCTCTGTATGTACACTCTCTAATCCAACTCCTAGTCTAACTCAAAGTATTTTTCCCTAGTTTTGGCTACCATGTGATGGTTTACTCACTAAGCTGTGTCCGACTCTTTGCAGCCCCATAGACTGGAGCCACCAGGCTATTCTGCGTGGGATTTCCCAAGCAAAAATACTGGAGTGGGTTGCCACTTCCTTCTCCAAGGGATCTTCCCAACCCAGCGATCAAACCCGGGTCTCTGGCATTGCAGGCAGAATCTTTACTGATTGAGCCACCAGGGAAGCCCCTAGTCGGGGGGCTACCACAAATAATTTCAAGCCCAAGATACCTCATCCTGAACTTTTAAAGATATGACAGGGAAATAAAAGGGCTCAAAGTGGCTGCAAAAGACAAGGTTTAGCATCCACTTGGGGAAGGGGAAAGCATGGACTCTTGGTGTAGATATGATTGCAGACACACAAATATTTCTGTCCCAAATTAGTTTTCAGATTACCTACAAATGCTGACATTCTCAAAAAGCTGATAATAACAGAAGTGAAAATAAAGTTTGGCTGGAGTTTGTAATTCCCAACAAGAAACCATTCTGTTCGTTGAATAGGCCCGGTCCTAAGCTCATAATGTTCTTACCGAGCTACTCTGTCATGGCCCCCTGATACAAAATAATATCCATATGGAGAAAACTGTGTGTCCCACACTGGATAGTTGTGTCCTTTATATCCCACCAAGCAAGTAAATGTTTGAAGACTCCACAATCTAACAGTTCCATCCTCTGAAGAGGAAAGCAGGTAGTTCCTGAGAAAACAGAAGGTAATATATTTGATTCCTAGAATAACTTAGGTACTTGTCCAGTGTCTCGGCACATTTGTATATGTTAAATATAGGTAACTGACTACATCATCTCAGTTTTAATTTATGCTGAAATTCACGGTGAATAACAAGAATTGAAAGTACTGTTAGCCATGACACTACATCTACTGAACACCTACTGAATAAGCTTAGGTTTTTTTTTAAAAACAGTATCTATTACGAAAATCACAGTTCTTTGGAAAGCAAAAAACAAACAAAAAAAAAAACCCAAGAGGTAATGACAAAAACTATCATTAAATAAGGTCACCTGAAAAAGGCTTCTAAGAAATATGTCACTTAAAATCAGTAATTTTTTACTTGAAAATGGAGTTGCTATTTTCATATCCTATACAAAGCTGGGTAAAAAGCTTTCAAAAGTAAACTACTCAGAAAGTACTATGGTTTTCGGTGAAATGAGAAGTTTCCCTCAAGTATAAATGTACCATCTGACTAAACCCTATAAAAAACAAAAATCTTCATCTCAAAGTTTCATAAGGATGAAAATCTTTATGAAAGATTTTGGACTGAAAGCAATAAGATATAGATAGTATTACAAAAAACAAAAAAATACCCTCCCCACATTGCTATAGAATGTTAAGAGATCATGAAAAATAGACAAACATTTTTGTGGGTTTCCAATTCCCTTATCAGTATTAGTCCTTTTGATTATACAAAGATAAATCTTCAGTTGATAGGTAACATGCCTTTATTATCAGGAATCTGTTGTGAATTTGGAGATGACAGAAGACAGCAGTAGCCACCAAACATATAGCAGGAACCCAAAGAAGCAATTCAACCCCTACTGGAATTAAACAAAACTAAAGCTAGTTTTTATAACCAGCAAACCCTGAAGCTATGCTTCCTGATTTTGTAAATTTAGCTACTATACACCAGTACCCCAAGATGAATTAGCAGAGGGCAAGATTCTAAAAGATAATGAATGACAGGCAACCATGGGATTTTTCTAAAAGTATTTTCCCCAACATTTGCATAATGTTTCTAGTTGTTAACTTTCACATAACATATATATATTTCATATAATTTTCATTTAATCTCAATGTAATACAGCAGTATTTAATTCTTATAGTTTGTCTTTTACCTATCTGGACTGAAGCTGGCTCCATACACGGGACCACTGTGACCATACAAGATCTTCAACTCACTTGCTGTTTTCTCATCCATGATTCTTTCTAAGACATCATCAGATTCTTTATCTATGAGGCTAAGATCTAAAATGATCCAGAAATATTACTTTTTAAAAATATATTCATTAAAACAATTTAAGGCAATTATTTCATATATCAGAGTTTAGGAGAAGAACTAACATTTGAA